TTCTTGGTTTTAAGGCTAATGCTTGTGTCTTGGAGCAGTTTCTCGATCTCATCCCACATTTCCTTTGCTGTTTGCATGCTGTCGATGAGAACATATACTTCGTTAGGGATTGCTTGAAGGAGGTACGTCTTGGCCATGAGATCACCTCGAAGCCTGTGCCTGTCAGCTTCGGTATATTCAGATGCCACTTTCCGTTTCCTTTCTGGAATAATAGGTGGGTTGTTTTCTGGATCTCCACCAACTGAAATCATCAGTTCAGCTGGTCCTTCAAGCAACGATTCAAGCATAGCAGCGGAGTTTTCTTTGTGCTCAAGGAAATTAAGGAATCGATTCCTCCACATTTGGTATTCTCCTTTCCTGAGACTGGGAGGAGTACTGCTGTTCCCTTGGGCATTGAATTCTGAGGCCATTGCTGTATAAAACTGACCGTTCGAGATAATTGATCAAAAGATTTTCAGAGGCAGAATGTCGAAAATCAGATGTCGAGATCTGAATATCGAGATCTGGGATTTCGATAAAGGAGGCCCGGTTTCGAGTTTTGATATCGAGATTAGGATGTCGAGTTTTGAAATCTCGAGATTTCAAATGTCGAGAAGTAGATCTCGAGATTTGAGATGTCGAGAAGTTAAACTCGAAATCTTATTTTGAGAAGTCAAATGTCGAGACCAGATGTCGAGACCTTAAAATCGAAATCTTGATCTCGAGATTTAGATGTCGAAATCCTCAATGTCGAAATCCTGCAAACTGTAAAAATCAGATAAGCAAAATCTGAAGGTAGTTTCTTGTAGAATATGATGTTGAGATCCTCAGGTGAAGTTTTCAGCTCGAAATACTTGACAAAACCTGTTTAAAACCTAGATGTCGACATATGCTACTCGAAATATCTCAAGTACATAAATTGCAGAAAATGAAATCTGAAGTATACCCCTTGATCGCTTCGAAACGACGATTCTAAGGGTGTAACTTTTACAACTTTTTAACAAGAAACAAGATTACAGAGAAAAAAATCGACAGAAAGAACAACGTAAAGAAAAACAGAGGTCTTCTGCAGGCGTTCTTCTGATCGGCTCTCGATCGGCTCTGATACCAATTGATAGTCCCTGTTTCTGTAACAGCAATGAATAGCAGTATAACAAAGAAGATTAAACGTAAAGATGAACACAGATGAATCGATGTAAAACCCTCTTTGATATACCGTGAACTCGTACACAGAATGATTTGCGCTTAAGGCTATTATGAATAAGTACGAAAGTTAACCTAAACCTGAATCCTCGGCTCCCTATTTATAGGCGAGGTTCAGGTATGTGAATAAGGCTTTTAGCCTTTTGTATGGGCCTAACACTTGGCCCATATTAAATACTATTCTAAGAGATACAGTATATCAGTGCTTAATGGAAATAGTCGACTAGGCTATTACAGACAAAACTGACAGACTTGATTCACAATAGAATTATCTTCAACACTGTTGTATCCAGAAGGAATATGTTAGAGTTAAAATATGTTAAAATCTGTTTGTACCCAATTCTTTAATAAAGTCGTGTAAAGGCATGTTAACTTAGTGGTTCAAAGAATTTAATCTCTTAATCGAGAAACTGAAATCTAACTTACTGTTTTTCTGTTTTATTTACTTAGCGTCATTGAAATGAAAACTTAGCATTTATTTATACATTTAGCACTTCAGTTTACTCCTGTATAGATTTTTACTTTTCCCCCTATCATACATCTGTCAAAGACTCCTATTTTTGAGGTTCAAACTTATTGTTTCAAGATTTTTAAATTGAGTGTGTTGTTGAAATGGGAATTCATATCTTGTTTGGTGGTAAGTTTATTGGAGAAAACGTTGCTATTTATAAAATATTATCATCTTCTTCATTTCTTTGATTTTTCTATTCTCCATTCTTCTTCGCTTCTTTCCTTCCTTTCCCTTCTTTCCTTCCTTTCAGAACATTAAAGGGTTGCAAAGTGATCTTTTTACTTTTTTCCTTTTTGCAACCAAACTAATGAGTGAACAATATGTTGGGAAGAAGCCCATAAGATGCGCTGTGTCACATTTTAAGGAATTGAAAACACTATTTCCATTTTAGGCTATCATTATCCAAAAAATGAACATCCTCACTATGATTTCTGAAATACATAAATACACCAACAAATCAAGACCTAATCCCCCTGGAAATGCTAAGGAGACCAATTAATTTTTCAAAAAATTCAAATCACACGAGCAAAATAACATTAGCAAATGAAAAATCGAATCTAATACTAAGTTGGAATTGCTCTCTCTTCTTGTTATGAAACATAGGCCATATTACATTGTAGCATATGTTTTTTCATGGAAGGGTTAAAAGAAAAGCATCTCAAAAAACTAAGGGAGCCTAAGAACATTCAACAATTTCGGTGCATAAGAAAGAGAAGCCAAAAAGGTAGAATAGAAGGGTGGGTCTAAAATATATTACTGACCCGAGACAATTTAGTTAACATCGCCAATCCTCAAATGCTGGGTTACGTAATCAAGAGGGGAGGGGCTGTTCCATTGAAAGAAAAATCGATGAACTTCTCAAGCCCCGCTAAGACTTGGGCGTTTGTACTTAGATTTTAGGTGGGTTCGCTATCCGCTTATTGGAACTCTATTTACTATCCCCTGAATTGCTCTTCCCTCCAGTAGATATTTTTTATCTTAACCAGCCTTTTACAAATAGATCTCGCCAGCCGAGGATGTTCCAGGACCCTCTGCCACTGAATGAGATAAACTCTGAGGAGTATATCAAATAAACTATTCATCGTTTGGTTGAAGAACAATGATATTCTTCATGTTACATAGAGTTCCATAGTAGCCCTCATTAGCTATACCCTCATTCATATGTAATTACCTTAAATGTGCCTACGAAGGGACTCCTAAACTCCTTAACAGAAAACTGAAAAGGCTGCGGTTGTTGAAATGGGAATTCATATCTTGTTTGGTGGTAAGTTTATTGGAGAAAACGTTGCTATTTATAAAATATTATCATCTTCTTCATTTCTTTGATTTTTCTATTCTCCATTCTTCTTCGCTTCTTTCCTTCCTTTCAGAACATTAAAGGGTTGCAAAGTGATCTTTTTACTTTTTGCCTTTTTGAAACCAAACTAATGAGTGAAAAATATGTTGGGAAGAAGCCCAAAAGATGAGCTGTGTCACATTTTAAGAAATTGAAAACACTATTTCCATTTTAGACTATCATTATCCAAAAAATGAACATCCTCACTATGATTTCTGAAATACATAAATACACCAACAAAGCAAGACCTAATCCCCCTGGAAATGCTAGGGAGACCAATTATTTTTTCAAGAATTTCAAATCACACGAGCAAAATAACATCAGCAAATGAAAAATCGAATCTAATACTAAGTTGGAATTGCTCTCTCTTCTTGTTATGAAAAATAGGCCATATTACATTGTAGCATATGTTTTTTCATTAAAGGGTTAAAAGAAAAGCATCTCAAAAAACTAACAGAGTCTAAGAACATTCAACAATTTAGATGCATAAGAAAGAGAAGCCAAAAATGTAGAATAGAAGGGTGGGTCTAAAATATATTACTGACCCGAGACATGGCACTACGGCAGTTTTCACAATATAACTTATGGCCAAATGTTTTTGACCAATTTGTATGATATCAAATGATGGAGTCATTTTTCACAAAAAAAATATATGTAAAAAGTTCAACTAAGTAGTATGTTATCACAGCTTAGTGAAATGACTAAGTTACTATCCAAATTAATCCTATTACGTTGTAAGAACCAACACGGAAAACTTTAGTGTCTGATGAGTTCTGGTTTATCATAACAATTATTTTCCAAAGATTTTATAAAAAGTTCATTTGTTAAAATCTTCATTCCAAAGATTAGTGTTTAGGCAGCAAATTAAAAAAGCAAAACTGAGACCAAAATCCTTGAGATTGGTAGTAAAATCAATTCAGATTAGGTTTATCAATCCATTGGCCAAGAGAAAAACCTTTTTGGCATATCGTCTATGAGATGCATGCTGAGTGCAAACCGGATTTCCCATGATAACAAACAACACCTTCTCGTCAGCAATTATTTATTGAATTGCAAAGTTATGACCCTCTAATTTTGGATATAAGCACTACGAAAGCAGACCAATAGTGACTTCATGAGTTGTTTGTATATATAGTTACTAACAGCACCACATGTTTTTAGTTTTGCACTACCTTTGTTGACCAATGCTTGTAAGGAACTCATTGATATTTCAATGGTCACAATTTTAAGATAAACGTTGAGGTTCTCATGTTACTGTGTTAGTCAGAATACTCTCTTTTAATTTGTTAACCCTATACATTACATTACTCCCACAAAGAGTCAAAATAAAGGATAATATCTTACTATGAATTGATGGATAGATGTTTTATCCTTGAGACATTCATCGGTCTTAGGTATGTGCAATTTCATGTCAAGTTCTAAATTTCTCCAAATTGCTTATGCAAACTTAGCATCATCTGTGTGCAACTGTTCTTGCACTTAGTCTGTCATCTCTTAGTCTGATCATTTTAGAGCTCTTTTCTTAATGCACCTATATCTTTTGTAGCAGTATATCAGTAGAAAAGGAAAAAATGGGTCTTCAAATTCAAAAACTGTGTGTGATTTAGTATAGCCATTTCCCATATATGGATCTCATTGACATGATATGAACATGACAGTCTCACACTTTGTTAACGTTGATACACATTCTATGTTTTAATTATGTTGTGATTCTTCCTACACTTGATCGAATTAAAATAAAGATAAAGTTGTGAAATAGAACTATAATTTATTTATTCCTGAAATGTGACTTCTCCACTCTCATTTTGATACGATCTAATCACTTTATTCTTTTAAACACACTTATTTTCCCAATGGCCGCTTTTGTCTTGGGAACAAAAATATCTTGCCATTCTTTCCATCATTGACTCTTTTGAATCTAACCAGGCATTCTTGCCATTTTTCCTATGGGGTAACAACTTGCTGCACCAGACATCACCAGATCATCTCATCTCATTCTTCTTTAGAGTTGCTTTTTGCTTCATATCAACATGATATGAATAACCAAGAATGAGAGTATTTGCTGACTTAAATGTAATATTCATAATTGTGTTTAAAGCCTTGGCCCATGGTGATAGTAAAACAATCTCTCAAAAACTATATATCTAAAATTTGCCATCATAGTACTCTGTCATTATACTATTATATGGACTATAGAGTAGGTGTATGACAACTCTTATAAATTTCTCTTGATGAGCATAATACAGGACATGCCTATGTTTATTCGATTAAAGTGGTTAGTATGAAATATGAAGACAATCATGATGATTCTCATTTTCTGAAAGAAGAATCCATCCAGTAACAAAGTTATCCTGACCAAAAGATTTTATGTATATCCTATCTTTTTTTTACTCCGGGGGGTCTGGGGCTGATGGTTGAAGTAATCAGGGCTGAAACTCACTCCATTTAGTTTCAAACCCTTGTGTGCCTAGCGGGTTTCGAACGCGAGACCTCCCACTAGGCACGGTAACCTCACACGGGTTTCAAACTATCTCTTTTTATATTATCTTTTTTATCATAGCTTATCTTTTTATCTTTCTTATCTTTCTTTTTCTATTGATTTCGATATCATGTAGTGACTCATGTTAGCCAACCCCAAAATCTTTTGGGATTAAGACTTGGATGTTGTTGTTGTTATAAATCTATGCTCCAGGCTGCCACAATAACGTTCTTACGAGAGTTTGTCAAATAACCAACATCATGAGTGAAATGTTGTTTTTCAGTAGAAAAGAGGTTTCTTAATTAGTCTACTAATTGAGAATTTAACTTGCTTTTATATGTAACACACCTCAGTATGATAATATATGAATCCATTTTAGCATTATACCACAATTACTTATTTGTATAAACTATAAAACTCCTTTAAACCAGTAACTTTAATGCTAAAGACTTTCTATCCGCAGATGATTATATACAAAAAATGATAATGTTACGAAAAAGTTTGTGCTCAACAGAAGAGGGACTGTAAATATTTTTTCTTACTTGAGAATGCCACTTCCTTGAAGCTGAATTTTGCTGTTTATATTATTAAAAATGGAGGCCCTAAGCACTACCAAATTTGGTCATTTGGTATATGATACAAACGAGTTAGGTTTATATATCATATATAATTTGTTTTATCTCATTTCTATGAAGTGTAAATTTGCAATCATGTTACTTAAATAGGGATTCGTAGTTTACAAATCCTTGTTGCTTATTTTTAAAAAAAAATCCGTCTACCCAAAAAATAGAAGGAACTTGCCACATACCACCTTCCTCTAATTCATTCTCTTGGCTTATGATATAAAAGTTTAAATATATAACACTTTTGCATTTAAATAGTTATAGTGCATGCACAAAATGAATACCACACCTTCTAACACTCCTGAGAGTAGCCGACTTCAGAAGAATCAAAGACGTAGGGAGAGATATGCTTCAAACGAAAGCCGTCGAGCAGAGATGAACTTGAAGAGGAGAAATGCGTATGCATCAATGGACCCTGAGAAGAAAAGAAAGATGTTAGACGATCTAAATCAACGTCGTAGAAACAAATTTAATGCATCTATCCCGTTACGAACGGAAGACGCTCGTTCGGGTATGATTTGACATGATTTAATTTGTCCATTTCGTTTGAATTGTGTCGTGCAAACGCACAACTAACTTGATCTTTTCCTACTATTTTTGGATCCATCAATGTCATGCTACTTCAAATTCACAAACACGTTCAAACAATCGTATGATGACATACCCTTGGTATGCAACCAATGTCATATGGTTCTTCGCTTCAAGATTCTATCGAGACGGAAGCACCAAATAATGTTCCTCCATTCCATACAATTCATGAAGAAATATCACCACATACTCCACAATCCGGAGAATGCTCCACACAAAATATTGTTCACATGCGGCTTCCAGAACAAAGTTTTATTCTTAAAGATTGTCTGCCATGTCAATACTGCGAAGCTATTCGATTTCAATATGAGCCCCCTGGTTTTTGCTGCTCTACTGGACAAGTAGTGTTGGTGTCGAATGAAATGCCGGCCCTTCTCAAACGGTACTTTTGTGAAAAAGATGAAGCGGCTCGCCACTTTCAAACATGTGTTCGAACATATAACAACACATTTGCATTTACTTCCTTAGGCATCCACAACTATGATAGGGAATTATCAAAGCGGAACAAGGGGATTTATACGTTCAAGGTGCAAGGTCAGATGTACCATTTTATCAATGATTTGATACCGACCGACAAACCCCCCAAAAATCTCCAACTTTATTTCTTCGATACTGAGCATGAAATCGAAAACAGAATCAACGGAGCTGGGCGCATGGATGCATGTGTTGTAAAGGACATTATTAGTGTCCTAGAAAGCAATCCGTACTCACAATTTTTTAGAACTCTTCAAGATGTATCAAGTCTTGAAGATTATAATATTGTGATACGGTCAAATACACATGTTGACCAACGCGTGTTCAATAAACCAACTGCCTCTCAAGTAGCTGCAATTTGGATAGACGAAGGAGATTGTGGCTCACAAAACAGCCGTGACATAAGAGTGTACGCAAAAAGTGGTAGATCACACTCTGTACAATATTATTATGGCTGTTATGATCCATTACAATACCCTTTGTTGTTCCCAAAAGGTGAAAGTGGTTGGCATGAAGGAATACAAAAATTCCCTAAAAAACACACCTAATCTCTCGCACATGTCCACAATCTCTACACCTTAATCAATTTTCCTCCATTGACGCTTTGTTTGAAAGTGAGAATTTCAATTCTGCTCCAACAAATAAAAGAAACACCGTCTCCTGTAGAGAATACTACGCTTACCATTTTCAAATTCGACCAAACAATGACTCTGCAATTCTCCATTCTGGTAGACTTTTTCAGCAATTCATTGTGGACATGTATATTAAGATTGAGACACAAAGGTTGGACTATTTCCGAATACAACAACGTGATATTCGAACCGAAAGCATGCAAGGGTTAATGGATAGTATCGCCATGGGAGAAACAAATGCTTCAAATGTTGGGCAGAGGGTAATTCTACCACCTTCTTTTATTGGGGGACCCAGAGACATGCGTAGGAGGTACATGGATGCAATGGCTTTGGTCCAACATTACGGGAAGCCAGACATTTTCCTAACAATGACATGTAATCCGAATTGGCCTGAAATTAAAAACCTTTTGCAGCACAATGATGAGGCTCAAAATAGACCAGATTTGATTGCAAGGGTGTTTCGAGCAAAGATAGAAGAACTAAAGGTTGACCTCATAAAGAAAAAGTTGTTAAGTGCAGTAATTGCATATACCTATGTGATTGAATTTCAAAAAAGAGGCCTCCCACATGCTCATTTCTTATTGATACTAGGGAGAAACCATAAGTACCGTACAAGTGTTGAAATTGATACACTTATCAATGCTGAAATACCAGATCCAGTGGAAACACCAGCATTGCACTCCTTAGTGGCAAAACATATGATGCATGGTCCTTGTGGTTCCATTAACCCTGACAATCCTTGCATGACCAAGAAAATGGGTGTCTCAGTTTTCAAGAATAAATATCCTAGAGATTATTCTGAGACAACAATATTGGGTGATAACTCATATCCCATTTATAAGCGTCGGCGAAACTCAAGATGTCTTACAGTACGGGGAAAACGTTTGGATAATAGATGGGTCGTCCCTTATAACCCTTATCTATTGTCAAAGTATGACTGTCATATTAATGTTGAGATATGTGCCGGTATCAAATGTGTCAAGTACATTTACAAATACATTTACAAAGGCCATGATCGAGTTGCAATCAATTTATGTCCTGGGGAAGAGAATGATGCAATTAATGAAATTGAAGACTTCCAAAAAGCTCGGTGGGTGTCCCCTCCTGAAGCTGCCAGGAGAATATATGCTTTCTCCCTTTCAGAAATCAAACAATCTGTTGTACATTTGCCTATTCATTTGGAGAACTACCAATATATGAGGTTTGATAACAAGAAAAAGTTCTCTGACCTTGTGGAAAGTGAATTGAGCCAAAGAACAATGTTGACTCAGTTCTTTTCAATGAACACAACAGATGAAACAGCTAAGAGGCTAAATTTGTTGTATGTCCATTTTCCAGAGTATTTTTTTTGGGTCGAGAAAGACAAGAAATGGGCTCCACGTAAGAAAAGGGAAGTGATTGGGAGGCTTGTGAGTGTGAATCCCGCGGAAGGTGATAGGTACTATTTGCGGTTGTTATTGATGAATGTAAAAGCACCAAAGTCATACGAACACCTTAAAACGGTGGGTTCAGATGTCGCTGCAACTTTTAGAGAAGCTGCACAAAAGTTGGGGTTATTACAAAGCGATCAAGTCATACAACAATGTCTGGAAGAAGCAATGTGTTGGCAAATGTCTTTCAGCTTTCGTAAACTATTTGCAACACTACTTGCATTTTGTGATATTGCTCAGCCACGTGAATTATGGCTGCAATATAAAGAACACCTATGTGAGGATCTACTCCGGTTTTCAACAAATAGCCTCGACGCAGAATACACTTGCCTCCTCCAAATGAACGATGCACTTGTAACCATTGGAAGGAATATCAATGATTTTTCATTGGTCCCTTTTCATATTGGTATTACGAAAGAGCAAAGAATTCAAAAGGAGATAGAAGCAGAACGGAGTTTGCTGCCTAATGAAGTTGACTTATTAGCTATTCAATCGTTGAATACACCTCAACAAGCAGCATTCGACACAATCATAAGTCGTGTTCACTCTGGTAATGGGGGAGTATTCTTCGTAGATGGGCCGGGCGGTACCAGAAAAACTTTTTTGTATCGATGTCTCTTGGCAAAAGTACGATCAAAACGTGAAATTGCACTTGCAACAGCAACCTCTGGTGTTGCAGCTTCACTCTTGCCCGGTGGCCGAATAGCCCATTCTAGGTTCAAAATACCGATAAACACAGATGATAGGTTTGTGTTCAATATCGGAAAGCAAAGTGCTGAAGCAACATTAATAAGAGACTGCAAGTTGATTTTGTGGGATGAAGCAACAATGGCCAATCGGAAAACGATCGAAAATGTTGACACCACACTGCGAGACATCACAAATTGTGATAACATATTTGGCAATAAAGTAGTAGTGTTTGGAGGTGATTTTCGACAAACCTTGCCCGTAATTAGGGCTGGGAGCAGAAGAGATTTAATTGCAGCTAGCTTAGTCAGATCAGAAACTATTTGGCCATCAGTTGAAAGATTAGTGTTGACCCAATATATGCGAGCTAAAGAAGATCCATCTTTTTCAGAATACTTGATGCGAGTGGGTAATGGAACCGAAAAAACTATTGTCGGAGATTGTATTGAAATTCCAGAATCATTTCTTATTCCATACACAACAGAAACTGAATCTTTGAACAGGTTGCTTAATATCGTGTTCCCAAACCTAAACGAATTCATCAATGACCCATACCCGATGATGAAACGAGCAATACTGACGACCAAAAATGAATTCGTCGATGACCTAAATAACACCTTGATCTCCACCATGCCCGGTGAAGAGAAATGCTACATTAGTTATGATGAGTTGCTCGATCGATCTTCACATCATGAGTATGCAGACTTCCTACACACAATCACATTATCTAGATTACCTCCCCACAAATTGGTATTGAAAAAAAAATGCCCATTAATTCTACTGCGGAACCTAAACCCAGCCGAAGGATTGTGTAACGGGACCCGCTTAATATGTGATGACTTTCGAGATCATGTTATTAGTTGTTTCATAGCATCGGGAGAACACAAGGGCAAACATGTTTTCATACCAAAAATACCCCTTGAGCCTTCAAAGGATGACAATTGTCCGTTTCCATTCAAGCGACATCAATTCCCCATCAAGGTCTGCTTTGCTATGACAATAAATAAGGCACAAGGGCAAACATTAGATTTTGTTGGGTTGTACCTAAAAGAACCAGTCTTCTCGCACGGTCAACTATATGTCGCAATGTCAAGGGTAAAAAAAGCAGATTGTTTAAAAGTGTTAATTTGCAATAGCTCTTTAGACACACACCATACAAATATCACTCAAAATATTGTGTATCAAGAGATATTGAATGAAGCATGCAAAGCTCCTACAACCAAATAGGTTAGTCCTACACATTATGTGATTTTACTACAATTGTGTTGCCATTAAATAATTCTCACAATGTATACATGTTGTTATGGCAAAAGCACTTGACTTAGTGGACATCACCCCACGAATGAGAGGATGGAGTTGTGAAGTACGTATTGTGAAAAAATTCGATGAAAAGTTGTCAAGCAACACACCTGGAAAACGTTTCATGCAAATCCTGCTCGAAGACAAACAGGTAACCATCATTTTCCACTACACCGGGTACCATCTTGTACTATTGTATGTTGTTTAATGCTACATTGCCCTAAATACATAAGCTCCGTTTGGTAACAATAATATGATTAAAAATTTTGATGATATCTGTTATGCTATTTTATAGGAGAGACCTGAACTTTTCATTTGTTTGGTAATATAATCTTAGAATGCTTTCATTAAACCATTGAATTGTTCCCCTTTTTTAATTCAGCGCCAAATATGCCCAACAGTTCACCTATATTAATACTACCTCCATCCTCAATCAAAGCTCCTCATTAAACATGGTTATTTACTACATGAATCCATATACATGTTGGTTTATCTAAATTTATCACATTTAGTTTTTTACATTATAGTGATCAATATTGGCCATATTTTTAGATTAACTAAATATAATGCTTCGTTTGTGTGGAACTGTTTCTCTAAAAAATTTCATGAAAGCTTAGTCTTATTTGTTCAACAATTGTTCTTTTTCTGCACACACAAGTCTTTTCGGCATGATACTTTGTTCTGATGGAAGGTGTTATTTTTAACTTTCATTTTCTAGCTGCATTTTTTCAGCTATTAGCTCAACATGTCAAACATGGCTTAAAGAATTAGTGACATGACCAATTATATTGTATTTTGTTCTAATTAGGGTAGTAGTAGTTCCTGAAGTGTGACAAATTAGATGGACTGTGGTTCCCTTAACTTCAACTCATATTAGTAGTATAAAATCTTTAACATTTGGATAAAAACAGCAGCCACTTCATATTAGTAATCTAAAATTTTACATCATCCAGTCAACTTCAACTTCTAAGCCAGATACATAGTTCATAGCATCCAGTTTTAACATAATCTTTAATATTAGAGATTTTACACCATTACATCATATTACTTTAAGTTCGAAACTTCCACATTTTATGGTCATACATATGTAACTGTTATGGTTGTGTGAACAACATCATCTATTCTCTTTATTGCTTCATTTAAGTCATTTTTATCGATCGGTAAATCTATAAAAATCTACACAATGAGGGAGTCAACAACTGGCAATTTTCAGGTCTTCATTCTACAAGAATGGATATCATACATTTAAATATGTCTCCTATATTTGCTAACCAGGACTTATTATCATTTACGCAGTTCGTACTTTCAAATTATATGTGGAAACAGTTAATTATGTTTTTAAAAAAACGTCTTTATCTCTCTTATAATGAAACCATTGACCATTCTAAACATCTTTATTAATGATTAAAAAGGGAATCCGAGTTCAAGCGGTGGTTTTTGACAACGACATCCCAAGATACAACTCCACACTCCATCTTGACTCCTGCTACACCATTTCCAATGCGAGTGTCAAACCTCAACGCCCTAATTACAGTGTTCCAGATGAGAGGTACAAGTACACATGGATATTAAGTGGTCGTACAGTCGTCCAACCGCTACGTGATTCATCTGCTTTCATCGATGCAAATAACAAAGTATACAACGCTTTCTATGATGTTTACCGCTGCATGAAATATGGAATTGAAATCTGTAAGTTAACTCTCTAAAAATCTATACATTCAATTTGTTTATGACTACGCAAAAATCACCCTCATGTGTACTCATTTTTTAAAATTTTATTTTCCATACAGCACTTATGGGCGTTGTGATAGACAAACTCCCAAAGGAAGTCATTCCCACCAGTAAGGGTGATAAACATATCAAGGAGATTGTGTTGGTCGATGAAAAGTATGTCTGCCATAACACTTACATTTATTTTTCACATAGCCAACCATTCATTCATATGTATAAATCAATAACAAATGCATATCATTGCAGGCTGAAACCAATAGCACTGACTCTTTGGGGAGATTTTGCTGATACTGAGGGAAGCGAAATTGTCAACTTCCTGAATGAGAACGAATACCCCATCATATCTATTGAAAATATAGGTGTCACACCCTTCAAAGGTAAATAGCTATAATAATCACTACCAATTATTTCCAAAAAATGTTTTCCCAACACATATTTTATCAATACACAAAACTAATAGTTTTATGAATATATATAAAGTTAATACTTTTAAGCATACGCAAAGTGTAATCTTTTCAATCATGGGATGCTCCCCGTTTTAAGTTCTTGTCATTTGATTTTTCTGGATAAATTAAAATTTAATAAATTAAAATGTAATACTTTTATCTGAACATGAGGAGGCGTTTTATGATTGATCACTGGTCTCTAATCTTATAAGACCTCCCTTGGCAGAATATGGAGATTCTAATGCCACATGAAGATGATGGATATAAAATAATTATTATGAGGTTTCAAATCATTTATATAGCATTTGTATTAATTAAAAATATATTTGAATTTAAAGTAAAAACAGTGTGTAGTACAACATAGCTAAAATGATCATGGGGTGGTGGTGCATATTTCAAATCTTACGTATTTGCTATTTCGAATATAATGGTACATATGTATATCTACCTCCATGTCCACTTTGTCAACACATTATAGTTAAAGTATTTTCTATTTCAAATTATGCCATACCATATGCATCTATTTCCTCCATATAATACTATCCTTGTATAATGTACCTACATACGTAATTGTATAAAAATATTGTTGTTCTAAATTCTCATTATCACATAGTGTTCTATATTTTCACTATATATACGGGTTTTGAAGGTATTTCATTGTCCACAAAACCCCATTCTACAGTAACAATCAATCCTATATCTTCAAGAGCTCAACAATTGCAAAAGTGGTACGTCACTGCATCACATATAATAAATATACATAATCTCGTACCAATTCCTTGTGTATGCTCTCGCATTAACATTTGTTCCACCTTGCTTTATGCAGGGCAGTTGAAAATCGTCCTACTCTTGATGCACTAAAGATATGTCGTGAATACAATAACGTTGCAATTAACCTTGCAATTCCAGTCGTTGCTGAAATTTCTAAAATATCTGAAGTACCTCCATCAATTGATCTGGTATGTTCTGCAATACTTAAACAAAATAACTAATAATAATAATAATAATAAATGGATCCATCATAACAATGATTGATTGACATGTTGCAGACGAAACCCGTTTGGATTCACGGCAAAATCAATCTGCAACTTGAAGGTGATAGTCTTTGGTACATGGTTTGTAGCAACTGTTTGAAAACAATTTATGCAGATTCTGATACAAGGTTTTTTCGCATGCATTGTGGTACGGAGGATGCAATTGCTACTCCAAGGTCAGCTATCAAAAATACCCATTCAATATACAATCAACCTTTTCTGAGTTCAAAAGTTAAACAAAATTCTATTGACAATTCTTGGTTTTTTTTTATGAAATTATTAGATCCAGAGCGAATGTCTCAATCACCGATACTACTTCAACAATTGAAGCCTCGGTTTTTGGGCAATGCGTGGAAAAACTTCTGCTCATGACTAGCAAACAAATTATGGAAGTAGAGCTACAGGTTGACCAATTACCGAGCTACACTAATTTAATACTTTAAATTTAAAATACATGAAATATTATAATTCGACACTGCACAATATGTTGACCCCTTTTTATAAATTATGAAGGGTAAGAAGGCATCATTTCAATATGCAAACAAGCGCTTGGATAAGGAAGAGTATATTGTACAACTGAGGTCACAAGCAAGTACTTATCAAACCAACCAAGGACCGTCCTACACCATAACATCTTTGCATGATGCATCTCATTACATTGTCACAACCAACATTGATCCATCAACCCCTCCTTCATCAAAGATGAAGCTCCCACACTCAGGAGTAGAAGATTCGCCTATTGATTTGAAGCGGTAGAGAAAAGCTTGATTACTTATCACCATTACCCACTACTTCTATTACTCCAACTATTTTCCTAGAACTATTATTTTAATTTTCTTTCAAACGCTACAGCCCAATACATATTTGACTACTTCTTTGATTAAAACATTTTTGTGTTTATTATGTTTGTTTTAATATAAAACGCAAATACATACTACTGTTTCATGTAAATCTCACTACTATTCTGTTTATTATAATCGTGTTGTCTATTTTATTTTCCCACATATATTCTATCTTATAAATGCTTTACTGTTTATGATTCTTTATCCATAAATAACAAATTATGTATTCAACCATTTTACTCATATTAGTCATATTTTCATTAAACTTTACCTAAGATATTGTGTGTCCCTACATTCACATTGGGCATTACTACGAACACGCAACACGCGTTATTAAACTAGTCAATCAACAAACTGGAAACTACCTGGACGAGACCAGTAGACGCCTACACCCTGTATTTTTTTGGTACATCTGCAAAGAAAGAGTACAATGCAAACAAAAAGAAAAAGAAAAAACAAACAAACAAAACTAGTATGGTCTAACAAATTCTAGAGTTCTCTCAATGTATGTCCCAAAGTATGCCTGCAATTCCCTCGAGAGCCGAGTGAGCCATGTTGGTGAGGAAAGCCGCACATCCATTTCCTTCTCTATGGTGTGTTCAATGGTGGAGCCACAACACTATAAAGGGGTGAGTCGGATTTGAACTAAAAAATCTTAAATACGTAGTATAAGTTTAGTAATGAAATTAAGTGCAAGTGCATCACAAAATTTATCACAACAAATGTGGTGCATCAAACATTAAAACTAAAGTGTCAATTGCACTTTACGGTCTTTTACTTTATCAAATTCGTCAATAAGAGAGTCAATATTTATAGTACTAACAAGTTCCCTTTCAATGAAGATATGTAAACTATCAGCAATAAATTCATCAACCACTTTATTGTGAATTAAAAGTCTGGACATGTTTCATTGTTGAAAATGTACTCTCGATTGTAGTTGTAGAAATTGGTAATGTTAGCACAAGACGTATCAATCTCGTCATCATTTTGAAATCTTCTCCCTTTTTTTACCAACATTTCACATAAATGTGAAAGTGCAGGGACTTGAAATAGATAGTTGTGAACCACATGAACATGAAAAAATTTCAGTTCACTCATTACATCATTTCTCTCATATTGCTCAAAATCAGGATAAAACTCCACCACAAGCTTTTAAATGTGATCAACATTATATGATTTGAAGGAGTTTTTCGGATCCAACGTCACACTAAGCTCAAGTAGTCTAACTTATATCTCATTGAATCTTGAATTTAACTCCGCCACTTGAAAATTTATGGGTTGAGTAAAGTATTGAAAGCGGTAATAATGTTCAAGATCCACCTCACTCCGCCCACGATGCATTTTGCTATTCAAGGGATAGTAATGTTATATTTTAAGCATAACTCTTCCACTTGTTTCAACAAATTGTCCCATCCATCACCCCTTAAATTTTGAAGAATGGATATGGACGTAGAAACATATCCTATCGCAAACAAATTGTCCACTGATTCCTTTTGAAATGCTTGGCAAATTGTCATCACGTGCAAGCCAAAAGACAAAATTGAAAGTCTTCACGCTAGTGTAAGCTCCACCCGCTTCATTTCGAGCCTTAGGGTTCGCCCCCATCACAAGCAATATTCTCGAGTACCTTACCAGTACTATCATACGAAGAACAAAGTCATAACGAAAGCTCCAACGAGTTGTACCCGAGCGTTGTAAAGGTGACATTTGATTCGCTCCTCGTCCATATTCACGTTCCCCACTTGCTAACAGAACGTCAATTTCAGTTCTACAAACAACTTGTGATCATGTATTGTGTTTAGCAGAAGATTTGACAATGGTAATTACCTTAACCAGAATAGAAATTAATTTCCAAATAGGATCACATTGTTTTGTTGAAGCCACCAATGTTAATTGCAACATGTGAGCAAAACAATACACATAGTATGGATACGGACAATCATTGATAAATAGTGCTTGTAGTGCGATTGACCATGCATATTAGTAGCACAATTGTGTCCTTGGCCTCGTAGCATATGAACTTGAAGAATGCAGTGACAAAGAACATCACAGATCTCGTGCTTTAGTGTTTCTGATAAAGTCTCAGCAACACCTTTAAGAGCAAAAAAAAATGTTCTGTTAAAGTACCAAAAACATTCACAAATCTCAAAAAACATTTTGTTAAAGTACAAATCAGATTCATCATTTGCCTCATCAACAAGAAGAGAAAAACACGAATCTCCTATTTCTTCATGTATCATACGTCGAACTCTATTAGCCATCAAAGAAAAATTTCTTTATGGATGTCACGAGAAGCGTATTTGACATTTTTTGGAGCATTACCTAATACAACATCTCTGACTTCTTCATTCCAACTTGTTGTGTGACTAATCATTTTCATCGTATTTCCATGGTTCAAAAAATTCCAAACTCGTCATGACCTCTAAAAGCAAAACCGTGTAACGCTAGCTAGCCACTGCATAGTCATGATTGACCTCTAATTTTCCATATTTTTAGAAAACTGGAAAATATATCTATTAGTAAACATGCCCTAAATTTTTCATGAAAGCTTGCATGCACATAATTGAAATATAAGTGCTCATTTGGTGACTACTTTTGGTTTATGAGCTTCATCAACGATTTTGTTCATCTAACACGTAACTTTCGATATTGCGCACTGAATTGTATACTAATCAAAATAAGTAAAGTTTGAGTTGTATTTCTGGATGAATTTCTAGTGGATGACCATTTTAACTATTTTTTAATATCATTTTTTCTTTATTATATAGTAAAATATATTTTTCTTCATAATTCAATAAAATCTGCCAATGGAAACACATTAACTAGAATTTCATAAATTTTTGTAGAATCAACCGATTCAGCCAATTTTAAGGTTGATCCAATCAATTTTAGTGTTACCAAACGACTAGCTCATTCACATTTGTGCATTGACAATCCATCGTGATGGTTAGCTATGCGATGACAATGAAGAGAGTCAATGAAAATTCTTGGAAATTGTGGGGTTTTCCCCGCGACGTCCCATTACGCATGGGCATTTGTATATTGGGTATGTTTGGCAAATGGCTTATCAGTCAGCTTTTAGCTTGTTTGACCCATTTCAGTTGTTTGATTAGTCAAAGAAGCTAATAATAATGTTTGGTAAATGGCTTTTAAAATTAGCTTGCTGAGTTTGAAAAGCTGAAAAAATGGATGGTTGAAGAAGCTAATGGGAGCAGCTTCTTCATCCGGCTCGTTCAATTTATTCCCATAAGGGTATAGCTCAAAGCTCCCAAAGTGATTGCATGTAGCTCCAATTTATTCCCATTGTGGTTTTTCTCATTTTTTTAACTTAGTCAACTCAATTATTTTGCTTACCAGTTTTTCATCTTTCCACTCCTTTTGCTTTCATTGTTTTGAGTTAGCATTTTTTAAATTAATCATTTAAGTAATATATAGTAATAATTACTCTAATTATTTTAAAAAAAAACTTGTTTAATCAAATACGTAGTACTATCTAGACAAATAATATATGCTTAACTAATATTTTATATTATTAGTTATGCTCTCTATCTTGAATTAATTTGATGTTTTTGGATTAGATGATTGAGTGATTATAAAATTAGATACTATAAATTTTTGTAGTATGACGAACATTCGATATATCAAAGTAGATATTAAAATAGATTTTATTCAACAAATTTTAAAATTTCCAGTTATAAGATGATTTATATTGTTGAAGTAACAATAGTTATAAAATTTTCATTCTTAGCAATAATAAAATACAATGAGTATTATTATATCTATATATGTCTTTTTACATTCTATCAGCCATTTCAAAACAACCAATTTTACCAAACAGTTATTTATAATCAGCTAACATAACCAGCCGGTCAAAACAGCTAACACAACCAGCTGTTAGGAAACAACTGACACAACCAGCTAACAACTAACAACCGATTGCCAAACAAGGCCATTGCAGTTTTGAGTGTGACATGTTCGTTTGGCTTGAAGTTCGTGATATGTAATAATGGGTGAAATTAAAAAAAATCAAAATTATCGTCCACAAGAGGCATTCAATAATTTATAAAGCTTATGCATGATAAATTTCTAATTGTTGTTATCATTTATGAAGTAATTACATAATCATGACTAAAATAAACATTACTTACTAGTACAAAAATGCGACTACTGACCATAGTAGTAATGGAATAATAGTAATTTATGTTCTTTTTGTAAACTTAAGTTATCATAACACTACATTGTAGTAACCATTAGTTATATTTTTGTAAACAAGTTTTATTTTGGTAATTTTTTTTAAAAACCCATTATTTACTTATTATTATTATTATATTAATTATTTATCATTCTCATTCACATAATAAGAAATAATTTGATCTATAAATGCCTTTGTGTATCTGATGGACCATGGAATTCAACCATGGTCCAACTGCGGAAGTACAACCCAAAAGCCCACGACGGGACCAAGCCCTTAACGGGATTAATGTTAGATAACCACTGGGCCCAAATAGGAATCAGGCCCGTGAGAGGAACCCACAGCCAGGCCAGGCTGAGAAGCAGGCCTCGAGCCTAGGCAGAGTTCTAGTGAGGTCTGAATATTCCTAGGGCTGATGTGGCACGCTATCATTAGATTAGTAGCTGGAAGGAGTTCACAGCAAGGAACGTGGGAATAAAGGAACAATCATTGCACAACGGTAGAGACGTTACAAGAGTCCTATTCGAATTAATGTGTAATTAATAGCATTTATTGTATCGGTTTCCTTTGGAAACACTAATTCCTTAGCCTACAAATATGACTTGTAAACCTCCCGAAAAGGGATCGAAACTCCAATCAATACAATACTGCCTTACGCTGTCATATTTTCATTTGCTTTCGTAGATATAGCTCTTGTAGTTGGATTAAACTCCGTCATTTGGTGCTTTCATTGAGAGAACGATCTGCGACGAACAATGGTTGGATCCAATAGCCACAACCGTGCGGGTAGCAATCAAGGCGGTAATCATTTCGATCAAGTGGTGATCGAGGATAAAGGTTCCAGGTCACGGCAGAGCGATTTCCGGAGGCGTAATGACAGCGCGGTGGGATTGGAGGATTTGAGAAACCATCTCCGGGGCGTTGGAGGTTCCAGGCGAACAGCAACGCGACCACCGCAGTTCCAGACAT